ATGGTCTAAACATGGAATTCACCAGTTTTAAAATCTCCCACCCCTGGCCTCATCCCATGACCAACCCTCCCCCTCATCCCCATCTCCTTGACCTGACACAACCTGCCAATCTTCTCTCCCACCTATCCGCCCCAACCATCCCACCAACCAACCCCCACCACTGCCTACCTGCGCTCACCTATCACCCTCCCACCTACCTTCCCCAGCCCCACCCCTCCTCTCTCTATTTATTTCTGAGCTCCCTTCCTCCTCCCCATTTCTGAAGAAAGGTCCTGACCCAAAACGTCAACTTTCCTGCTCCTCTGATGCTGCCTGGCCTGCTGTGTTCCTCCAGCTCCATACTGTATTGTCTCTGACTCCAGCATCTGCAGTTCTTGCTATCTTTGACTAGGTTGGGATTGTTTTTGCTAGAGTTCAGATGAATGAGGGGGATCTCATTGAGACTTAAAGAATTCTAACAGCACTGGACAGGGTAGGTGCAAGGAGGATGTTCCTGATAGTGGGTGTGTCCAGAACCAGGGGTCACAGTGTGAGGATTCGGGGTAGACCATCTAGGACGGAGATGAGGAGACATTTCTTCAGCCAAAGAGTGGTGGGCCAAAACACTGGATGTATTCAAGAGGTGACTAAATATAGCACTTTGGGCGAATGGGATCAAAGGTTATGGGGAGAAAGCAGGATTAGGCTATAGAGTTGGACGATCAGCCATGATGGTGAAGAATGCCAGAGGAGACTCAAAGGGTTGAGTGGCATCCTCCTGCTCCTATCTTCTATGATTCTATGTTACATTCACCCAGAAAGAGTTAAACAATGACGATGGGTTCTATAAACCTGTCTTCTATTTCCTCCAGTGTAGCAGATTAAGGGCCAATCCAACTGATGCTTAAAGGATTTGATAGGATCGATACAGAGAAACTGACTTGTTCCTGTGGGCAGGCTCAGAACAAGAGAACACAATCGTACATTTCAAGCTGGGTTGAGTCATTCAATCTCCAGAGCAGACCAAACAAAGATCTCTCATCAGAGTCTGATTACAGTTGAAGGATCAGAGAATTTTTGTTTTGATGTTGGAATTAAACAAGAAGGAAACACATTTTTGCACAAAAGGATTTCTCACTCCCAACGTTCTGCAGTTGCCAGGGGTTAATTAAAATATTCAAGGCTAGGGAAGAATTTTTGTTTGGAATGAATATTATAGACCAAACATGGATGGGAGAAGGTGGGCATCAGATCAAGCATGATCGAGGCTTGAAAGATTGAATGGTCAACTCTCATTCCAATAAAATTATAATTTAAAAAAGAAATTATTAATACAAAATATGCACCTGCATAATGTCAGTGTTATTTTATTAGTTACATGCTCTGTGCAACTGCTTCAGGCCTTCACTAAATATCACACATCCCAGGAAGAGAGATCTGTTCTTCAAGGCTCTAGCCAGTCACCTGGAGCAGGAAAAGCTGGGAGGAGCCTTAAAACTGAATGAACTATTTGTGAAATGAGTTAATGGGTGGGCCTCAGGATTGGGATGAAAGGTCTAGTCTAGATCTACATATACTGACAGATGTATCGATTTCCCATTGAGGCCTTCCCCAACACTTCAGCATATTCTTCATTCTGGTAATGCGACAGTTTTAGAGATTTGCATATCTATATTATTCCAAAACTGCAGATCGTTAGATAATATCATGGAATCCCTACAACACAGACAGAGGCAATTCAGCCCATCAGGTCTGCACTGACTCTCCAAAGAGCATCCCACCCAGACCCAGGCCCTAACCCTATCCCATTAAACCCACATTTACCACGGCCAATCCACCTAACCTGCACATCTTTGGACTGTAGGGGGAAACCAGAGCACCCAGAGGAAACCCATGCAGACACGGGGAGAACATACAAATGCCACACAGACAGTTGCCCAAGGTTGGAATCAAACCCAGGTCCATGGCGCTGTGAGGCAGCAGTTCTAACCCATTAGCCCACGTGCTGCCTGCTCCAGCTTATATCAGAGATCCTAATTTAATCTAGCCCATTCTATGATAATAATATTTTGTTCTGTCATAATAATAACTGTGCAAATTGCACAGAAAATCATCTGGTAATTTTTGGAGGAACACACAGCATAATGTCTCATATAAATTATATTATACATTGTAATGCACATACATTCTAGTACAGATCCTGAGAAAATGAGAATGTACTAACAATGTTATTGTGTGCTCCATTTTCCTGAAAAAAAATCATACCGTGAGATACCGTGATCCTGATGGGGACAGTGCACTAGAATTCATAACCCACTGTTCTACCAGTCACTAGAAATATGACCGATTTAATCTCTAGAATGGTCAATGCCTAAACGTAACCAGTGTCAAAAATAAAACAATATCACACTAGGTTTAATTAATGAAAAATAAAAAATCATAAACTTTTTATTATAACAAATATATTCTCTTATGTGGAAAAAAGATACTTAATTATTATATCAGTATGTAAATTTAAACTGTACCCTTTTTAAATCTCCACGCATATACATATTTGTTCACACTTATGATGGACAGAACAGACAAGAAAAACAGATTTTTGTTTTCAGGAATATCTTGGGCAAAAGGATATAGGCAAAAGTTTGAGGATCAAAGTCCGAACCAAAAAGATTTTTGGTGACAACATCACATCGATGTCAGCTATGGTAATCCTCAACTCGGTAGCTGGTCAGTTGGACCTAGGTCTTGCCTTGAGCTCGGAAGAGAGCGAGTGTGAGAAAGGGAGAGAGGAGATAGAGAGACATATTCATGGCTGGTCTCTGGAGGTCTGAGTCCTAACTGGTTGCTCAGGTCTGTGACCATACTTAACCAATCCACAAGCAATTGCTGGACAGATACTTTTTATTTTGAAGATAGCTGGTATCACAAAAATATTAAAAACAGCTTCAAGCTTCTATCAATGAGTGACTACACAGTTCCACCTTTGAGTTTCAAAAAATGTCCCATAATCCAAACTTCAATTTTCCAGCATATATTTCCAAATAAAATATGTGCAGTCCTTAAAGGGGGTGGGGTGGTCACAGGCTGAAGTTTCATCTGGGTGCCTAATATTTGTGTCCCAGTCCTGTTTCTCATTCACCATTGTTTCAGTTTTAGGTGTCACTGAGTTGGGTGTGCTCTGTGTTAGCCCAACGTGGTGCCATTATTTCCTGTGACGTTTCCTTGTGAATAGCAACAACTTGCTTTTATTTAGAAGCTTCAATGTCGGAAACATTTTGAGATTTCTTCCGAGTGTTTTCAAATAAAATTTGACATCGAGCTCCATAATATTGACAGATGACCAAAGGTTCAGACAAAGAGGTCAATTTTAGGAAGTGTCTGAGAAGCGAAGAGAGATGAGGTGAAGATGTTATTGTGTGGGAATTCTACAGCTAATGGTGCCCTCCCAACTATGAATTTGGTGCTGGGGGCATTTACTCAGAGGGGAGGGTATTGACTGGGACCCTGTCATCTCGCTGTCTTCACTCCATGGCAAGAAGGCAGTGCCAATAGTTGCCCTTAAGAACATCATTAATGCCCACTTCAGCACCTCATCTTGCCACCGCTGATATTCACCCAGTGGGTGGTAGGTTCACCATTTTAAAAAGTTTATTCTTGGTCGACACTGACAGCTGTGGCTAGCGTTGCCTATTCCTAGTTGCCCTTGAACTAATTGGCTCTCCAAGCCATTTCAGAGTCAAACATGTTGCTGTGGGTCTGGGGTCCCGCGTAGACCAGTGTGAGGGCAGCAGATTTCCTTCCCTAAAGGACATTGGTGAACTGGATGAGCCTTTACAACAATTGACAATGACTACATGGTCACCATTAGGCTAACTTCAGACTGTTATTGAATTCAAATTTCACTAACTCCCATGGTGGGATTTGAGCCCATGTTCTCAGAGCATTAGCCTGGGATCCCTGGGTTACTAGTCCAATAGTATTACAACTGCCTTCCCTTACTGTGCAAACACTGATGGCATTGTAAGGAGCTCTGCGGGGTGGTACCCTTGTTCAATGTGCCTGATTGAGGGATCCAGCATTGGGTTCCTGCTCAGTCACCTCTCACTCTTTGCCTCTGACCCCTGTTCCCCACCCATTCATGCATGTTCTCCCAGCCTCTGTGCAGGCTTCCTCCGGTCACTCCACTTACCTCCCACAGGCCAAAGATGTGCAGGTTAGGTGGATTTTATAGCACTGTAGTGCCCAGGCAAGGTAGATTAACCATGGGAAATGCAGGGAAAGGGTACGGAGGTAGGTCTGGGTGGGATGCTCTTCAGAGAGCATGTGGACTCAATGGGCTGAATGGCCTGCTTCCACACTGTGGGGATTCTACAATTTCCATCTACCCCATCCCCTCACCTTTGATTTCCTTGATGCCCGAGAGTTAGCCCTCGAGTGGGTATGTGCTAGCAGCACTCACTACCTCCCTGATGGCAATGCTGTTGTTCAATAGATCCGATCGGTTGGCCCTCACACTTCTTGTGTGGGGAAGCTTGTGGCTGTCCAGTTAAGTGCCCCGGAATGGGGGCTAATTTTGTCCAGCCTGTCCTATAAAAGAGGCAAAATGGATCTACTGCTGACCCTCCTAACCCTGGACCTGGAGAAGTTACCAGGCAGGGAAAGTTTCCGATGATAAGGGCATGAAGAAGTTTGAAGACACCGCCTTGAGGAGCAATTAGGGATGGTCAATAATGGTTGGCCCAGTCAATGATGCCTACATCTCATGAATGAAAGAATAAAAGAAATATATGTTTTAAAATTACATAAACTGGCAACGCAGTGAGATGCCAGGGCTTTGAGATTGCTTGACACAATTTCCATTGGCAAAGGCTTGGGTTGGGGGGTTCATGTGACAGGAGATGATAAGGCACTGGCAATACAAACAGGCCACACTCACATTAAAATTGTGTATGTGTGAGGTGTGTGAGTTTCAATTCTCTTTACATTAAGACCCGAATATTATTACAAAACTGCACACAAAATTGTTAAAGAGGGATTTATTTCCAATTTAATACCTTTACTTTGAGTTTTTTATGTATCCATTATTCATATGTGTACTTCCATATACAAACATCGATATACAAAAATAACTCACATATATATAATGTAAGTATATTAAAATGTACATTCACACCAATATTTCATACACGTATGTATAACCATTAATTCAAACATCAATCTTAAGAAATCTTTGTGTACTCAAGTGTAAACTCACATACACACCTCAGAAAGGTGCACATTCGGATACAAATGTTATACAGTCAATGTACCTTGTGGCTGTACAGGGCTATCAGCAGCTTGCTCCGCTGCTCCTGAACTACAAGTGAAGATTTTCAAACACAAGACTGTTCCGAGGTGATTTCCTGCATCCTTGGGATTACATGACATGTTGCAGCAGATCACGAAACATTTACACTGCTGCAAAGTATTTATCATATTTGATTTGTTGAAAGGGTGAGATGGAGCAGATTGAGAGGATGTTGGTATGGTGCAGAATCACTGGTATAGACTAGTTCGATAGAACAGCCAATGCTCATTGGAAACAATAAAGAACTTTTGTGTTTTATTTTGTTTCAATAATTCTCTTTTCTGGTGCACATCTACAGACATTAAAATGAGTGATATCGCTATTAGAGGTGGCAAATATATTTTAATGTTTTTGATATTCCATATTAACACTCCCAAAATCAGGTTTAGCAGATACAGAAAATAATCCACTCTTCTTCTGCCGTTATATCATCTCTACTCCATTCTCAGACTACAAGACTTTGTCCCCACTCTTCCCATATTTCTAATCTTCACATCAACTTCACTCAGTGAAGGTGTCAATTTATTAGGAACATGTGAGGGAGCAGAAGTAGACCACTCTGTCCTTGAATTCAATAAGATCATTTATGTTTTGAATTTCCCGTTTCCCATACATGGCCTGCTGCCTCATAGCCCCAGGGACCAGGGTTCAATTCCAGGCTTGGGCGGCTGTCTGTGTGGAGTTTGCACATTCTCCCAGTCTCTGTGCAAGTTTCCTCCGGTCAATTCACTTTCCTCTCACAGGCCAAAGATGTGCAGGTTAGGTGGATTTTATAGCCCTATAGTGCCCAGGCAAGATGAATTAGCTATGGGAAATGCAGGGAAAGGGTATGGAGTAGGTCTGGGTGGGATGCTCTTCAGAGAGCATGTGGACTCAATGGGCTGAATGGCCTGCTTCCACACTGCAGGGATTCTACAATTTCCATCCACCCCAGCCCCTCACCTTTGATTTCTTTGCTTAACAAGAATCTATCTATCTTAAAAATGTTTAATGAGCTACTTCTGAAGTTGCACAACACTCTGTGAGAAAAAAGTCTTATCTTTGTTCTAAAAGGATGACTCCTAATTTTAAAACAGTGTCCTCTTGTTCTGGACTGACCCAGATGAGGAAACGTTGCTGAGTGACAACGAATCAAAACAGTTTTTGATGTCTGCCCAATATAGATTTGTCTACAATCAACAAAACTCACTTCCTAGCACATCCGGTATTGAAAGCTGGATTCAAACTCACATTTGAATTTATTGTGCTGCCTACGTTCCTACTTTTACAAGTGCTTCTAAATTGCATTCCTGATTAGTTTAATCCTGGATTTCACCTTTTCTTTGTCTGGATATGCATTCACAACATTGTTCCTTAAAATAGTGGCAGCAGCATTGGATGGAGATTTAAATAATTATCTGAATAATAAAGTGGCAGCAACATGTATTCGAATGGGATAGAGGACCTAACTGGACAAACAAAATATAGCAACAAACCCTAAGGCGAAAGCCCAGAATGATGTAAAGTCTTACATTTTAACATACTGAGGTCATAATGAAAGCATATTGGTTCAGTGGATCAATCCATTCCCTGTAGACTGATTTCACTGATCCATTGAGGAACAGGTAGAAGACAATTGAAGTCTTCTTGGCGCTTTCCTTGAACCAGAGAGAACTGAAAATAAAAACCCAAGTGGGCTTGGAGATAGCAAGAACTGCAGATGCTGGAGTCAGAGATAACACAGTGTGGAGCTGGAGGAACACAGCAGGCCAGGCAGCATCAGAGCAGCAAGAAAGTTGACGTTTTGGGTCGGGACCTTTCTTCAGAAATGGCTTGCTGCCTGTGACTATGGTGCACCACTGAAAAATGTCAGTGCTTGACTTTAAGGCAGTGGTAGAGGTTGGTTCATTAGGAAGCAAGACACAACTACTGAGTGCCCTGTCCCTGGACATGGAGAAGAGTGGGCACTTCAGGGAGCCATGGGCATGTGGATGGTGCCTGTGGGTCAGGAACATATCCTTGGAGAGGGTAAAGGCAGAGGGCGAAGTGGTTTTGAGGTATTTGGTCTGGCGGGGATTCAGCTAAGGTTGGCTGGCCATGTTTCAAAGATAACCATCTATTCTGGATGAGACATTAAAGCTGAGTTTGCCCTCTCAGGTGAGTACAAAAGGTTTCTTGGCGCTATTTCAAACAAGAGCAGAGAGCAGGTGTGTAATTCCTGGCATCTTATCCAATTTTTAACCTTGAACCAATGTTAATGAAACAGATGACCTGCTTATCATTGTCACTTCTGGGGATCTTGGCCCTGTGCAAATTGGCCGCTACATATCCTATAGAATAACAGTGACTACATGGTGACCAGATATTCACTGACTGTAAAGTGCTATGGCCGTGCCCTGAGGGAGACTCTGTGTGAGTCTCTTTCCTTCTTTATGTTCATTCAAGGTGATGGTTTTGTAAAAGGGCTCTTTCTAGGCAAGGATGCAGTAAACAGCGCTTTAGTGCTACCCACAGCTGAACATTTAGTACTGTACTCTGTTCAAAGCGCTTTTTTCTTGATACACCAGCAAAAGACCTTGTTACCATTGGAAACAACTTTCAGAGGAAATTGGCTATGCGCTTGATTTGCTGTACGTGCAAGGACGATGAGAGTGAGGAACAATGTCAGTGAGGATTTCTAAAATCCCCTGCAGGAACAGTGTTTTTCTCTTGTGTAAAATACAATTGCTACCACCATTTTTATCGATTCAGAAACTCATTACTTGATGTTCCAGCCAGCCACAGAACTGTCTCCGTAATCCAGTGAACGGCTCCGATCAACTCCACACCTCACCGTAGGCATGACAATGGTGTCTTAGCCTCTTGGGTTGGGGGTCACTTCCACTGAATCTGCAAATAAAAGGACAAAAATCACAGTGATGTAACAGCAACCCCATTTCCAAGTTGCTCCAGGACACTCGCTTGGTACGTCATGTCTATTTCCAAGGGTCAGGAAATTCTGACAATAAAAGTGGGAGCTTCATCACATACAGAATAAAAGCAGGAGTGGCCATTCAGCTCATTGAGACTGGCTGATCATCCAACTCAGTTCCTGGTTCCTGCTTTCTCCCCCATACCCTTTCATCCATTTAGCCATAAGAACTATACCTAACTCCTTCTTGAAAACATTCAATGTTTTGGCCTCAACTGCTTTCTATGGCAGAGAATTCCACAGGCTCCCCACTCTCTGGGTGAAGACATTTCTCCTCAGCTCAATCCTACCTCATATCCTGAGACTATTACATTCTTGTTTTGGACTGCCCAGGCATTGTAAACAAGCTCCCTGCATTTACCCTGTTTAGTCCTGTTAGATTTTGTTTTGGGTTTCTATAAGATTCCCCCCCATTCTTCTAAACTCCAGTGAATATGGTCCTAACTGATACAGTCTCTCTGCATACATCAGTCCCGCCATCCCAGGAATCAGCCCAGTAAATCTTTGCTTCACTCCCTTCATAGCCAGAACATCCTTCCTCAGGTAAGGAGACCAAAACTGTACACAATATCCCAGTTATGGTCTCACCAAGGCCCTGTACAATTGCAGCATGACATCCCTGCTCCTGTACTCGGATCCTCTTGTTATGAAGGCCAACATATCATTTGCCTTCTTCATTGCCTGCTGCCCCTGCAATGTTTACTTTCAGCAACTGGTGTATAAGGACACCCAGCTCTCATTGCACCTCCCACTTTTCCAGTCTATTGCCATTCAGATAATAACCTGCCTGTCTGTTTTTGTGGCCAAATTAGATATCTCATGTTTACCCACAATATACTTCATCCTCCATGCACTTGCCCACTCACTCGTAAAAAAAAATTGAAAGTTAATCCATTAATATATTGAAGTGGGATTTGAACATCCTGCATTCCAGCGCCAAAATTTGCCTTAAATAATGAATTGTCAATGTTTCAAACCTGTGAAAAATAATTTGTGAATCTCGTGATTCTGTCCTGATGAGCAGAAAATGGAA